CAGAGGCGGCCGCATCGAACACAAGACGCAATTTCCCTGGCTTATTATTGTTTACCACCGCGAAATGGGGCAAGTACCATAGCCTTGTACTTTTTGTCCCCTTTCAGCGGATGTCAACTTTCGCGCATACCCTTTCTCAATGTAGCGCTCTATTAGTCCTTTATAGGCCGCGGCAAATATCTGATCTCTTTTAAATTTTTTCTCGATGCCGAATAATCTACTCTCGGCCATCCGGTAACTGTCGGGCAATTTGACAAAGTCGCTCTTCCAAAGAAGCCCAGTCTGAAATTTACCATTAACACGACTCGTCGTTTACTTAAGTATGCGTTCCGCGCGGGCATCTGCATGACTTTTTAAGGCTGGTGCGCGCCGCACCCCGAAACTTTCGATATCAAAATATTCTTGGACTAAATTATGCAAATCACTCACCTCCTTGACAAGTAAACACGCTGCATTTGGCGCTACTCTCTGTCCAGTCGGCCCAAAAACTACCCAGCCGAGCTCCGTGTTGGCTACATATGGCCCTCTATCTTCAAGCTGCATTGTGACGGATGGCAAACCTAAGCGGCAATGATCTAGCCCAATGAGTATCATCGGGGTGACGTTGGAGAACGGGGTAGGCATGTTTGGCAATTCGCGGGTAACCAATCCGCGTAAGTCATTGCTATTCAGACTTTGCACTGGCAGATTTAGGTTCGGCAAAACGAAGACGCGACGTAACCTGCGACGCTTACGTAATCCTTTTCCGCTAATTTCGAGATTTACTACTGTGGCGGCCTCCTGGGCAGTTCTTCCTCCAAACCACTGCATATTCAAGTTGTACTCCTTTCCATTTATACCCAGCTCTTTCGAGAGACTTCTGTCCATCATCGTGATAGAGGACCCTTCATTAAACATCGCAAATGTATCGACTTGTTTACGCGGCCCATATAACGTTACTGGCAAGACGGGGAACAAGAGCCCCTGTCGATTGGCTACATCGGAGGAACAGCTCAACATTGACTCCATTACGTTAGTGGTACCAACCATCTGCTTTCCGCTTTGTGATGCAGGCGTAGCGCTGGTGGCCTTGTTAGGCTCATGCAGAAGTCTGTTGTGCTTGCGTTGACAACCATCGATCATGCACAGCGTGCGACTACGACAATCACGCGACGAATGGCCGCTTCTCAAGCACGAGAAACACAGTCGGTTTTGCTTTATGTGAGCCCATCGATCAGTCACGCAGGAATCAACAAATTTTCGGCATACATGGATTTTGTGCTGTCCCTTACATATTGGGCACTTACCAGAGAGTTGGGATTCCTTCGGTCCATTTTCCGTGGCGTGCAGTACTACTCGCCGACGACTATCACTTTGTTGCAATGTACAAACCAAATTTGCCAAGTCGCTGAGCCAGTTGCTGAAGTCGACAACAGTAGGGTACGGCTTAATCGCGGCGGCATGTCTTGCCCAATCCATTCGTTTGCTAATAGGAAGCTTGCTAATCAGCTCCTCTAGTAACGTTGGGTTTGACAGGTGCTGTACTCCATTCACCGACTGCAGGAAAACAGATAGATTTTTTGTTTTTGTTGCGAAGGGTATAAGTTTTTCAATGGCGGACTCGGAAATCGGATTAATTTCTTTAACTAGTTGAAGCTGGCTGCGTATCAACGACTCCGGTCGACCAAATCGAAACTGTAGCTGCTCCATAACACTGGCTACGTTATCCGGATGGATTAGCAACGATTTAACCACTTCCCTGGCTTCACCTTTCAAACATTTCAACAGACGTTGATTATTTTCAAGGTTAGTGTAACCATAGGCGGCAGTTGATTGGATGAACGCGTTGGAAAACAATGGCCAGTCTTCCGCATGTCCGCTAAATTCGGGCAAATCTTGAATTTTACGCGGCATCTGGTAATTTCCACCGGTTATTAACGATTGCGGAGTGTGAATACCGTTTATGAGCGAATCTGCATTTGTTATTGTAGGGGGGTCGGTAAGGCAGTGCACTAAAAACAACATTTGGCTGGTAGCCGTAGTTAAGGTTGGGCAATGTTGTTGTTGCGGGCTGTGAGGCTACTGTATACACATGCGCAGGCGAACCAAATGGCAAAGACGATGATTGTACAGTACCGGTGCCACTTAGCTGTACATGTGGCGTGATATTGCATAGGCTGTTTGGCACAATATGCTCGACGGGCTGCCCGTTATAACGGGTGCTTTCATCGAACGTTCGACGTTGGTTGTTGTTGCTTACCAGCACTTGTGTTTCTCGAAGTTGATTTTCTAACGATTTTATTTTTTCAATTAAAAAACTCACCTGTTGTGGGAAGCTATGTTCGTTTTCTAAACTGGCTGACCTAGACGTGGCGGCGGTATTGAGGGTGTATGCGGCTACGCCGTTGTGTGCAATCGGCATGGCAATAGCTGACGAAGTGGTGGTATTTTCAATAAAGCTTGTGGCGATCGGCGGGATGATCATAGCTGTGGCGGCATTTGAAATAAGTGGAGTGGTTGATTTGTCTGGTGCAGCTGCGACGGCGTTGGCAGCTGGTGTAACCATTGCGGGGGCGAACGTGGCGATTGGGGCTGAGGCGGCGTGTATAACCACTGGTTCCGCAGCGGCGTTTGAGAGACTTACCAAAGGTGCAGCGGTGTTAGCAGTAACCGCAGGCGATGAGACTACCGGAGCTGTAGATGTGGCGGGCCTTGATGGTACGCTTGAAGCGATGGCATTGGCTGTGGCCGTAGCAGCCGTCGATGAAGTTCTGGCGGGTTGGGCAGTAGACATCGTCAACAGGGCTGCAGCGGCATTGGCTGAGGATGT